GTTTTTCACCAACATAAACCTTCTCTTTGACCTCTACATTATAATCGCGTCGTTATAAAGATGTTTTGCAGTCGAAATCATGAATGCTACCGAGGTGCTTCATGTGTTCCCAAACAGTGTCCGGATAAATCAACGAAAGTGCTTTGCTAATGTGAATTTACTGGCATATTGCCTACTTACAATGAGTAATAGTTTAATATCCAGGTACTGAAAACGCTCATGCCGCCCATATAAGAAGTTAGTATTTGTGAAATTAACTGGCGCTATATTTCACAAGAAACATGGCGGTTGTCGAAACCCGCAGTCTGTTTTCCATTCTGACATGATCGGTTACCGCAGAACCGTCCCTTCTGATTATGATGTTAGGGTGTTCACTGAGCTGTCTGCCTGCAATACCTTCGCAAAAGTATAGCCGATGATCGGAAGTACTAGGCTAAAGGCTTGCAGTAAACGTCTTGTGTTTGGTATAAGGCTCTGCGCTGCCCCTCTGCCATTTTGGGTAGTAAATAACGCGATTTACGTCGAGTGGCTCGATGGGTCTTGAAAACTACGATGGAGGAATAGTTGCTGAATAGCATCTGGTCGTAGGTGCAAGATGGAATAAATGGCGAGGAATTACAGCATGCGCCTAAGTCAGAAATAGGCTGATTGCACAATTCCTTATTCTGACTCCAAGTTAGAGCGTAGCACTCTGCAGCAGAGTACAACAACAAGGCAAAAAAATCCATGTGTACAACTAGTTATCTGTTTCCAAAAAGGCACCCGCTAGTTTACGCAAAAGATTGATTCATGTTCTGATTTTCTGCTATATTACTGCTGGGTATGGTGCGAAAGCACGCATGGAAAGGTTTCCAAATATAAGTCTGGCTATTTGCCACGTATCAGTGTATTCTGCTAAGAAGGGTTGAGCTTATGACCAAACATGTTGACAAACTAACAAAGAAACATGTTGACTCCCAGCAGACAGACCTTCAGAGAGACCGCTACCAGGCAGTATTTCTGTGCAATGGCCTAATGCAATGGGAAGCGCTGCGAGATTCTGGAGGAACAAAAAACTGTTTCCACTCACCATCAGAATAGCATTGAAACGTGTGTAAGAAACAAACCTATTACCATTAAATTAACAAAACAGAGTGCTTATTTTTATCTTGAAAGAAACAGCAGCGCTGCCTTGAAAAGCTGAAATCGACTCATGTGCGGTTAGTTTTTCATTCAAAATTTCCTGATCGATCAAAGCCGGAAAAGAAAAATTCACGATTCAAATATTTTAAAAACATACCGTAAATTCCCTGTTTTTCATCTTCGAGATCGGTACCAGGCCACTGAATTCCAAGCCGGCATCGACGAATACTCCGAAGTCGGTCACGTTTTTCACTCGACCGGTCAGTACGTCGCCAACGCGTACATTTGATACTGAGATGACATCCTTTTTGAAGAGCGGCTTTTCGAAAGCTAAAAAAACGATGATAGCAATAACTAAGGAATGTGAGAAGACTCACAATCACGCAAATCATATTTCTCAGAAACACTCAATGCCTGAACAACGAATTGTACGGTTTCCAATGAAACGTTGCACTTCTGAGCAAGAGACAGCAAACGGCCACTTTGCGTACCGAGGTGTTTCAGTTTCTGTCGTAATTCGTCGCTGAACATGTCACTCTTTTGCATCCCGATGCTGGCGAGCAATCTAGAGCAAATTTCGCACAATTTAAATTTAAATTTTCAGAACGACACAAATTCCTTTTCGTCAAGTTTCAATGACCCTATGACAATCGAAATGCAGTGATGGAGGCTACGAAGCTTCCATAGGACTGGTTAAATCACTACTAGGATTAGCATGTTATTATGTTGATGGTAAAACGAAGTCTGATCAACATATCTTACATCACTAGATTTACAATTCTGGTGCCTGCCCTGAAGTGGCTTAGAATGAACAGTTTTTCGAGACGACGTTAATTACGAATGAGGCACAAGAGATTCGAGATGACGAGTGTCGCTGGTTCAAATTAAACGTGCTCCCTCTGCGAAAACGCGACGGTGAAGTTAGGGAGCGCGGGAGGTTGTTATACAGTGATGAATGACTCTCACTTTTCGGCGACGCCGTATGACTCCGGATGGACAGCTGTGCGATCGAATACATCTACCGCGTAGCTCAGCTTTGACTTTTTAGATTTTGACCATTTTGCGTCGCCGGTGACTTTTCGTTTTCGGCTGCACTCAGCAACGACCGGCATCGGTTCTGGATTAAACCGTTCATTGCAGAACACGCGTAAAAAACCGATACACTGTTGATGGGTGAACGGCCCGATGCTGGGGACTGCAAGCAGCTGCTCTCGGCAGACGAACGGGCCTGAAAACAAAGAAAATCAATCCAGCAAGCGATCAACCTTATTTACCCTTCTTTTCGCGATAGTTGATGATCTCCTGAGCTTGTCGCTTGTTCAGACCGGCCACGTGGCTATAAAAAAACATACATGGTAAACTGATCACTATTTCCTTCACCATTATGACACCAGAGTATGCTTTTCGAACAAGTGTTCACGTCAACGCCAACGAAACTGACGCACTCCTCAGCGACCGAGTTCAACGCTTCGCGAAGCAGTCGATCAGAAATATCGTGCTTGAAAATGAGCACAAGGTGACATGACCAGATTAGCCGCATGGGCAGAAAATCTCTTCGTACCTGATACATGCCGACTCCAACGTGGCCTGGGTCGATTTTGACGTACTCTGACAGGGGGTCCTGCAACCTGCGCGCAATTGACACTACAAAAAAATAAGAAGGCGGTGACTATGCACAGGTGACATCAAGACTGCCGAAGCAATACATGGCAGCTTAGCAATCGGTGGTACCTGCGCTTCTTAAGCACGGATCGAGCTGCGGCATGTCGCTGACCGCTTCCGGTGAAATGCTGTACTTCGAAGCACCCGATTCGTCGACGATGCTGAAATAAAGACCATGAGACGAACGCTGGTCATGTGGTGAAGCACCTTCGCACCAGTACTGTACTTCATACGGCCTGAAGGCACCGCTGTTAATCAAAGACGCAATGAAGCATTCCGTTTCACGGCATGCCGTTCCATTGCCAATGCCGATCTTCTCGCAACGAGCATCTACGGCAAAACTGATCAACTGGTTGATCGCAGTGTTGTCTTGTTTCGCACAATGGTTGACTTGAGGAAGATAAAACACGCCAGTGTTAAGAATAATGCCTAGAATATAGCCCAAAACCAATGACGCTAGCTGGTGATCGCTAGCATTTGCTTACCTAAAGCAGAGATGAATGCGTATTTGCACCCGTGTCGAAAACCCGGGTCGATGCCTAAAATTACGCAGTCCTTCAATGGCGGAGTCAGCAGCAGCTGACGATAGTTACGAGCGAAAACTTTCAACGCTTGTTGCTCAGCATCGCCCAATGCCTTTTTCCTAAACTATCGACATCATATACGTGAATCCTCCACATCGAAACAAGGCCCAAGCGAAACATACCTTAAGTCGAAGCGCAAGTTTAAAATATGGTGCCTGGTCCTCTCAAACAACTATGAGTTACGCCTCAGCTTTACACGTAAAACGTGTTAGACAAAGCGAGCATTTATCGCGCGAATTCTCGCAATGTATGCAGGCTGTTCGGCCATGCCACGTTACAAAACCGAAAAAACAATCCATGACAGGTGACGTCATGTGCCGCTTCAGCAACCTTGGTATGGTTCTCGGAGTGCTGGCAATACCACATAACTGCTACTGAACAGTGGCACAAATCTGAGGTTTGAGCAGCACCATCGACAATAGCAAGCATATAATGACGTTTTTACACGTCGTTTCATTGCTGGTATTGTTAACTTTACTCAGGGCTATATTGGTTACTGAAAGCAGCGAGACTTTTGCAGATATTTGTTCCTCATGCACTGCCCGGAAAGTTTCTGTGATTATTATGATACGGATGAGTTTTCGTGCAGTTAAGCATTGCAGCTTGAATCGGCTTTTTTCAGATAACGAAATCTAGGGTCGTCGTAACGCCTTACAGAAAACTGCTATGCGGCTA